CTTGCTATTTCTGTGCCCGCTTCAAGCCGTGGCCTTGCTTCGCTGTAGCTAAAAAGCTAAAGTGCATTAAAAATTGATTCTGTTATTGTCCGAATTTTATTGTTGCAGATAGTGCAATACGCTTGCGGAAATCCACGTGTAAATTTCTTTGAAATGCAACATTTTAAAATTGGGAGAGAAATGAGACGAAGAGAGTGAGAAAAAACATAAAAAGATTTAATTTGAGTATCAGCAAATGATTCTAGCCCGTGAAAGCTCATTACAATTGCCAGTGATACTGTCATTCTTTTGTGATTCTTACTTCCCTCCAATTCCTCCAAATCTCCAGTAACCGAGTAATCGCTATGAGTGAGGAAAGATTGATTGAGAGAGGCCAACTACAATGAAACGAGAGTGGCACATTCAAGATTTGAAATCGTTAATCCGAAAAAGATTAAATTCAAATGAGTTGCAATGCCACTTTCGCCGGTCGGGGCCCTAGGCCCAACCCCAAAATGCTTTTCCCACGTGCCCACCTCCACCTCACACTTTTGTTTGCAACGTTGACGAGGCAAAGAGGAAAAGAAATGTCAACACGACAAACCAACCCATAGAATCAAGCAGTTTGAGGTCTGATTGACACCAAGCACAGCGGTAATAGGAATTTTTTGTAGCACTCGAAAATTAATGTGCTTATCAGTGAATTGATGAGATGTGGAAGGAGGTCCCAATGAATGCAGGTGATTGTTGTTTGTGTGGAAATAAAAAACATGTAGGTATATTTTCAATTTTGTTAGCACCACTGCATATTTATAACCAAAACGAAAGATAATATAAATGAATAAAATAAGGTTACAATCCAAAACATATGTCATGACAATAATGAGAGGGGAAAATTTCACAGACGAGGACACAGACACAGACGAGGAGACATAGAAAGTGCATCGATGAAATACCACAGCCACAGATCAATTAAGTAAACACCTTGCACATCATATATAACATACCGTGCCTGATAAGAGTTTTCTGATAAGCAGAAATCGAAGTTTCCCAACCCTTTCGGGGCTATCATGACTAATTTGTTTATTTATCGATGATTGAAAGCTCAAAAAACCGATTGAGGCCAGTGGAATTAAAAACAAGAGTGAAAATCGGCTGAGATCCAAGTACGAGAATACGAAAATTTAGACGATGTTCGAGGTCTCTGCGTTGATTAATACCTCTCTATGTCTGCCCAAGCTGTACTTATTACTAATACTTTGGGGGTATACAATTTTTCTCGATTGTTGCACAAGTTATGCTAATGTAAATAACTTTTTGACACGTGCTCACTTAGGTTCAACGACTGGCAGTGCATGTACATTAGCAGTAGTGCTTCATCACTCAGAGTTCGTTTACTTTCAGAAGTAATAGAACTGTGCATGGGATATACGATTAGTCTTGTTTTTTTAGATCCATATACATACTACATACAATTTCCCATTTAGTTACTTAACTCCCAGTCTCTTGAATATATAAAATCCCTCCTGCGATAAATGTACATATGTATGTACATAAATAAGTATATGGTATTTAGAATGTAATGTCCATATAGTATTATTGTTGCTCGGCCATTTCATTAGTCGCAATACCAGATCAAGGGTTCAGCTTTATAATTAATATCACATCTCGAGTGGAACAACTTTTTGTTTGCAACGTAAGTTATCAATACCAGCTAATTAATATGTGTTATATGGAATATGTGTTGGGAATGTCGAACAAATATATGCTTGAATGCTAATAATGTTCAATCAATTGTTGTAGAGAACCTTTGAAGCGATAAACCAAAAAAAAAAAATCTGACAGCCACGGATGAGAAAAGGGTACGAAGACAACGTTGATGACATAAAATAAATAACATCATACGTTAGCTATAGATTTTTATTGGTCGGGAAGGCAGATGCAGTCTACCAGGAAGCCGCCCGGCCAAGCGCAACGAACTTGACGTTAAAACGCGCCCAAGATAATCAGACAGAAAAACCATAAACAAATAAAGTAAAATCCAAGTAACGACAACGGCGGAAGGTGGACAACTTTGGAGTGCTCCGTGAACCGAGCTCTTCATATGATTGTGTGTATCTGTGTATGGAGTGATGGGCACATAAACATTACAGCTGCGGTTCATTGACATTGAATTGGTGGGTCTGGAAGTGGAATGCAGTTGAGAGTTGTAGGATAACTGGAGAAAGGTTTAGCTTGGCTTAACTTGAGAGCAAAAGTTCTGGGCCCGCTTAAGTCTCGGTTTTTCTAGCTTTATGCATAACTGCGTTTTTAATTGTGCATGGAATAAAAGACGCACTCAACGATGCACTTAATGTTTGGTAGAAAGACGAAGACGGACAGAGTCATCATAAGGCAGACATAACAGGACAGAGCTACTTTCCTTTACATAAGAAATTTCTACTAGTTCACATAAAACAAAAGGGCCAAAGACAATGCTTTGCAGCGGAGTCAGAGGCGAAGTTGCTGGCAATGTTGTGTAGGCCTACCCGGAACCTTGAGGGTTGCATGACCTATATCACAGATTAGAGAACTGCGAAGGCAGTACAACTCCAACATGAAGAACCTCTTACTTTCCCATGGCATCGGCACGTCTACGACTCCTGCGCTGTTTCGCTGTCGGTCTCAGTTTCGGTCCATTTGACAAATGTTTCACATCACTACCCCCCAACAACTGCAGCAATTACCTGGCCCTGCAGTTTTTGTTCCCGTGTTGCTTTTGACGGTTGGCCCCTTAGTCCTTGGCTGCCTCACAGTTGGTTATCATTGCGCCTTGCTGAGCTTCAAAAACGAAGAGAATATGAGCCGAGCCCCGGCTGTGCGAGAGAAGAACAAGTGCTTCTTGTTTCCTGGCAGGATGTCATGATTTTAAACCCCACGGGTGGCTCTAAGATGCGATTCCATATGTATTCTAGGAATCGAATAGCCAGACTGATGATTCTGATGCTGCTGCTGATTACTCACTTAGATCAATATGTGAAAGCCATTATTTTCATATGGAAATGGTTTGACAGTGTGAACAAATGCAGCTCAAAATGTTTTCTACACAATTAAAGGGCTGAATTTAGAACCGACAGTTTTATAACTATGATAAAGTAAGCATGTCTGAGATGGTAAGCGATTTAACTCATATATGGAGAAGTATTTTTCTAGCCCCATTGGGTATTTGCTCCTTGACATATTTTCTTTTATAATTACAACTCGATACATTAAATCTTTATAAAATCAAAGCTAATTTCGGACAGATAAAAGCTTACTTCAAGCTTCTGGCAAATGTCAGTTGGGATGGGAAATAAAATACTATGCTTAAGACTAAACACAATCCGATTAATTACGGTGAGAACGTTGACAATGGTAAGCAAAGCGAATGCCTCATTAATTTAACTTTTGATGATGTTGTTGATGTTGATGACGCAGATTAAGAAAAACAGAAGGAGCGAGCGAACGAACAAACGTCATTACGGCCAAATGCATCAATAAGTGTAGATATTTAATCTCCAACAAGTCGACGCTTACACTCTGGTAGGAAAGTGATACAAAGACAAGCATACAATTATGAACAGGATAAGTTTATACTACTCACTGCCCAGATTGACACGGTATTAGAAACCCTTCCACTACCACAACCCTACCACTATTCGTGGTATTATTGCAAGCGAGCGGCATACATGGAGTAAAATAATATCGAAATTCCATGTATGGGTATAGAATAGAATACTTCACACATGGAGGTTAGCAGCAATGGCCGAAGAAGACTGAACACAGTTTTTTTATCCAATAAATTAATTGTAAATAATTTATCAAATACATCTGCTAATAATGATTAGCAAAATGAAGAAAGAGAAAGCTACGTCAGGCATTTTCTAATATCTTTTGAATCCCTCTCATTTTGTGATTTTTCTGACAAGCCTCGATAGAAGTCTCCACTATAGTTTCTGCTGATTCATTTCCCCAGGCAGATTAGCTGAGCATGATAAGGAATGTTCTTTCTAGGATCTTCTTTATCTTTGAGCTCATGAACGACTCAAACACTGATGAAGAGACAAGACAACCCTTTATAAATTGAAATTAAATTTTTTATTTATTTATATCTTATCTGAAATATCTTAATTTTATATAGGCTCCTAATATACTTATGTATGTATATTTTGGTCGATTAATTTACTAAGTACTGTTGTTATAGCCAGCGAGCAAAAGGAAAATTAAATCATAGATTTAGGATTTACTTTTACCTAAAATTCTACCCATTTCTACACCCACAGGTATTACAATCTTTGATCTATCCCCATACGAACATTGCAAAAAGAAAGATCTACCTATACAGGTGATCTGATCATCGTGTCGCACACAAATATGCTGCCTGAATAAGATATCTGCACGTAACTGTAATTTAAAACCATACCACGACGAAAGAAAGAAAAAAAAGGAAAAAGAAGAACAAGAACAAGAGAATCGGTTTGGCATGGCTGGGTCCGCCCAATGGACCCTTCGGGCAGGGTACAACCAAACAAAAACAAAGCAACAAAACACATTATCCCCCAACACTAATTTTTCTTCCCCCACCCCGACGAACAATACAAGAAGAACTGTAAAGGGAGATATGTCATTTGACGGGCTGCAAGACGGAACGAAACGAAGCCCAAAAAGAAATAAAGATCTGTTCGGGCCTCTCCATCCGTCCCTACCCTCTGTTCCTGGGCAACATGTGCGCCGCCGCTTTGTAACGCCAATTATGGGACCATAATTCGAAGGCTTTGTCTGTGGGCACAAAAGACTAACGCATGGCGATTTCTCTCAGAGAGAATAACGAAGATCGTTCTCCGGCAGTTCAGAGTGCCTCTTTCCCAGTGGTGCGTAAAACCCACAGAGAGAGCGGAATGGAATTGGAAACCAACCGCTCTCAACTTCTCTCTTGACTGGAATTCCAGCGAGCGATAGCTTGGCCGGCACTCTCTGTTTGATCGGCACACGAATCAGTTTTTTTTTCGACCCAGTGCTTGCCGGACGTGAGCGTGCGGTAGAGCAAGATTCAGAACGATTATTCTCGTACCAGCAAGAAGATACTGATACAGTGAAAGTGTGCCGAACCGCCGGAGACACAATACACTCTACCGCTTTCTTGGATAATTCTTGTAGTATAAAAGTAGAGCATGGAGGGCCTGCCACGCGCATTAAACTACGAACTTTCGCATGATTTACATTTCGACCACTATGCTGGTGCGACGGCTCAGCAGATTCTGAACAGCGGCAAACACTCGTCCGGTGGCGAGGACTCAACACCCACGATCACCACTCTGGACACCCTAGCCAATAGTGATTTTCTGAAGCAGATTGGAGCTACGATTCTTAACTCAATCCAGCTAAAGCATCATCACCAGTTTAGCGAATTCGCTGCCTCCCCGAGAAACTCGAGTGCGGCGATTATGGATTTTGACTTGGCCAACCATGTGATCCTGGACGGAAGCAGTGTGGATCAGTTGCAGCAGCAGCTTGAATATGACAAGTTCATGAACGAGGTGTGGATTGGTATCGTTTTCGCACTGATCCTCATATCGTTGGTTTTTTGCGTCTGCTCGTGCTTTCTTTACCATCAGTTTCGGACTTGGAAACGCAACTGTAAGTATTCCGCATTGGGATCATAATTCCGCTTTGTTGTGTTGACGCTCTCTTGTAGAACTTCTATGCTGATAGAGATTCAATTCTTATCGACCCAAATTGTGTGATTTCTGATTAGTTATTTCCGGACAAAGTAAAGAAAAATAGTCAACATTTATAATCGTATTTAGATTTGCCTGTGTGACAAATGAAAGTAGACAAAATGTTTCTAGTGAAGTCATAAAATATTTAATTGAAGAAACCGTATTACTTAAAATGAGGCCTGACTTTAACACTTAGAAAATAAATATTCCATTAGAATCAATTGTAATAGAGTTTTGATGATTTTTTTGAGTGGATTTTTAATTACGCACTTTATAATATGTATCTCATTATAAAGATGCAGGTTTAGCAAACTTTTGAATTTTCAACACTCTACAGACTCCCTCTTCAACATTGCTAATTGTTTGACCAGAAAGAATGCACAGAAATTAGCCAAAAATAATGTGCTGCGGCTGGCTAAAAAAATCCAACCACGGGCTTGATTTAAATTTTGTCTCTTTTTTCTTAGTTCAAGAAATAATTCAGCATAGCAGTCAAATTATTTAAGAAACTAGGTCGAGCTATACAAAAATCCACTCCCATTTCTATACAAACCTAATAAAACATTTTTTCTATAATTTCTAGATCGCAGTAATGCGAGTAATTCCACACAGTGCACAATTGTTGATATTGAAGCACTGAAGCTGCATCCTGATGCAGATGATCCTGTGCCGGAATATACCTTGGTATCGGGCTTACCCAGCTACGAAGCGGCTCTGGAGCTATTGCACAAAGCACCCAAATCATCATGCCTGATTGTCTATCCAAGCGTTTTTAATGTATTCAATAAGCACGAAAGAGCTAGCTCTGTCTCAAAAGCAGCATCCGCAGCAGTACCAATCCAACAAACAGTAAGAACTGAAAACGGAGCAGCTGAAAATTTTGCAACGCCACAAACACCACCGTTAAGTGAGGTAACAATGCCCCTGCTACCACCCATCACCACTCCAACAGCAACACCATTGGAAAAATCACAAATAGCACCGGGTTTAGCCACGCCCACATATGAATCGATTAAGACGAACCTTGTAATGATGCCGGTTGTGCCCAGCTATGCTGAGTTATTTGGCAGCTCCTGCAACACCAAGGATGAGAAAAATAAATTTAAAACAAAAGACAGCCTGTGTAAAGACTTGAAGCGATGAACGCGGATGGATTGATTCAAAATCGTTCTTATGGATATCAAATTAACTGAGCTCTGTGATATTTTAATTCATTCTATTGATATCGATGGGCCTCACCAAACACCTATGTAGGTACATAAGTTTTGACAAAACGCTGTGATTATAAAAAAGACGTTACTACAAAATCTACTTGCTACCAATATTAGCCAGTCAGTTAGTTTAATGAAAATTGTGCTTAAAGAGTTTTTATTTTCGTACTTAAAATCCTTTAAAGAAAACGTATGTACATATATATTTATAATGTTCTTAGATTTAGGTAGGCTCAAACTAATTTTTTATTAATAAATAATACGCAAATTATATACAACTTTAAAGTGTATGTATATTCAACAGAAATTACTGCGAGAAAACGGAACCATTCTTCTATCTTTATCTTTCAATGGACTCAACTATACATTATTATTTTTCCATCAATCAATTGACATTCGAATTGATTCATTGATGCTGCAGAAAATGATTTGATTGTCGCTAAGATCAGATGGCACACAAATCCCAAAATCTATGGAAAGGGGTTCTTATAATTTTTATACCCGTACTCGAAGAGTTAAGGGGTATATTAGATTTGTGGTAAAAGTGGATGTGTGTAACGTTTCGGACCCCATAAAGTATATATAGTATATTCTTGATCAGCATCAATAGCCGAGTCGACATAGCCATGTCTCTCTGCCCGTCTTGATGAGCGACTAAATCTCAGAGACTATAAAAGCTAGAGCAACCAACCAACATTTTTTTCCGGACTGATAAAATATTTTAAAGTTCCATATAAATCAGAAGCTCACATACATATATAGTAAATATTATATACTGACTGAGTTTGGTTATAAAAGTAAAGTCGCCGCCACAGCACCGACTCACAACGTTCCTTCTCGTTGAGCTTTATAAATAGCTTCCAGCTTTAGTTCGTAGACTTAAAGCAGAGCAGAACCAAAAAAAGTAGATTGGGATAGTTGCTATAGATAGATAGACAGATAGACACAGCTTGGGTTTGACATTGAGCTAAGGACGCGATAGCTTGTTCTGACTACGACCGTGTTGATTTCTGTTCCCTGTACGGCATCTACTCGTACAATAGCAACTGCGACTGCAATTGTTGTGTACAATGAATTTGTGCAATTGTAATTTCGTATTGATAAGCTAGTAAATACAACTATAGGTATGCAAATCGCCTTTTATTTCCCCCAGCACAGACAATAGACATAATAAATGATCTCAAACACTGATTCTCTAGCATGGATGTTGTCGTTTTTTGCCTGTATACGTGACTCTCAGTTCAGCCACCAGTCAGTCACCAGCCAGAAAACGTGGCCATGTCTGAAGGCAATATGGATTGTGGTAGGTCTTGAGTTAAGAAATCAATAAATCTCTCTAAATACGAGCACAGATTGCCCGAATATGTAAAATATTCTTCATCCACAGCCTGAATATGTCTATCTAACCGCTTTAACTAAATTATTCCTTCAATTCAGTTAACTTAGCGCACTGCAATTGGCATTAACAAATGGAAGGAATTCTATGGAAATGTGGTTTCCATTGTATTGAACTAGTCTCTCTTTCGTGATTTGTAATTTTTCATTACTATTATTATTATTGTATTTTTAGATTGCTGCTTGCACTTGCAGTTTCAGTTTCCGTGCTCACCGATGCAGTCAGTTTCTTTATTGTTATTATCTCTTGAATGGGTCAACAAATGCCCGACAACTAACTAAAAAAACCACATGAAATGTCAGTAGGTGAGAGCACGAATACAGTTTATTATGCGAGCGTAATAAATATTATTCATCCAATGCCATCGAATGATCGCAGGTCGCTGATCAGCGGTGTGAAATGGGTGCAGACAGAACCGGGATTCTGGCTCCATTCTGGGAAGAACCTCTTTCCGTGTCTAGCCGTAAGGCATTTGCATATTGGTGGGAATAGTCGCCATATTATTATTATTAATTACAAATTCAATTGTAATTTATGACGGTTTAAAGTTTATTTGACAGTTTATGACATATACCCTTATGAGCCGTTCAACTAACTTAGACTCATCTCTATTATCTATAAATATTCCATTATTACTACATTTGGCACACTATCAACCTACAGTACGATATGATGTATGGATTTTATGGATGAAGCGGGCTGTCCCTCACAATTTAAATGCCAACATACGCCTACCAATTCGGGGAGACACAACAATGTATGCAAATTGTTTCATTAAGCGACTCCGATCCATGAAAACATGCCAAAAATATCTAACAGCGCGTGGCCAACAGTCTCGTAGTCCACTCACGCTCTGAACCTAATCGAAAGCTTCCTCTGGGTAAAGTCAGCCGTGACTGTACGGCTCTGTTAGCTAACAGGGCTCTGTTGTGGATTGATCAACACAGCTCTACTCATTCTAAACACCTTGTAACACCATTCCCTAACTAACATTGAAAATAAAAGCAAATATTTTCTAATGGGTTTCAATATCGTTTTAAAGGTTATGTGGTTTGGGTTAAATCCCCAGTTGCATATTAACAGTGGAATACTCTTTCACATTGATGGTCTATGGAAATTTACACTTGAATATCGGGCAGTATTTACGTCACATTATTATGCAACTTCAGCAACATAACTTGCCATCAATGCAAATTCGAGCCCGTCCGGGAAAGCACATTTCCAAGAGACAATTTATCAAAAACTCAACTCAACTCAAACTCAAGATGCATCCGTCCGGTGAAAGTTTGATGCTGCCACAGGGCATCGAAACCTCACCCTGAAACACCACATCTGAATCTAATGAAACCAAAAATCTATAAATAAAATGCACATTAGCCCACGTTTATGGCTGAGCTTACAAAGCGGAAAGCTTACTTGGTGGAATTTTCAATTAGGCGCCAAATTCATTCGGCGGACTAAGCTGATGCTGGGGCTGAAAGAGACACCAAGTTCAGACGCCGTGCCGCCGAAGCTTGAAAGTGAAACCGGTTGGTCAACAGCAACAAATTGCGGCACAGACACGGCAACGACAACGACATACGCAACTTTTGACCTACTTTTTGATACAAAAAGGCACAACAAAATACCCACAAAAATTGAGAATTGGCAAGCCGGTCTTTCCAAACGGTTCGAACTTCGAAAGCGGTCATCATTTCAATAACTATTTTTGTAGGGTCTATGAAGCTAGATGAATGACAAAAAGCAATAAATAATTAAAATTAAAAACATATCTTATCTTCAGTCTCTCTTCAGTCTCTCTTCAGTTCTTGAAAATCGTATGTCTTCACATATTGAAAATTTGTTGACTCAAAACTCTCTGATGTGCCAAAAGCAGTCGGGGTTTCGAAAAAAACGAAGTTGTATAAGTGTTATAACGGATATTGTGAAAGATATACGACAGCAACTTGACAAGAACTGGGTAACGTTCTTAAAACTTCTTGACCATAGTAAGTCATTTGAATCCGTCAACCATAACATACTCTGCACAAAATTGACGAACTTATTCAAGTTATGCAGTCAACTTTGTTAAGTCTTATCTTACAAATCGATTGCAGGCAGTAGTCTCAGGTACGAAAGTTTCCACTTTTATGAAACTTACGCGTGGAGTAACTCAGGCCCTTTATTGTTTTCAATATATGTTAATGATCTACCTAGTGTCTTGTCCGAATGTGAAGTACATCTACATGCTAATGACGTCCAAATTTATATTAGCAATCCCGTTAACGAAATAAATGCTTGTGTCAGTACGTGTAACAAAATGCTTTCCATAATAGAGAAATAAGCAATAGAGAATGGCTTGGAAATAAATCCTAAAAAATCAAAATGTTTGGTAATTGCTAAAAAATTATTAATACAAACAATCTGGAGAAACTACATATTGAAAATACACCCATTTCCTACGAAGACCATGCAGTTAACCTGGGTATAACATTTAGTAGCACACTGTCATGGAGTAAACATATATCAAAGGCAACAGGACGTACCTGTCTGTTGCGCCAATTGTCAGCGTATGACACATTTTTGCCAGAAGAAATAAGACTTCTGATTTCTTAAGTCATTCTCATCCCCACTCTATTTAATGGACACTCTAATTTGGACATAGTGACGCTCGCGACATGCGCATTAGTAATAGCCTTTAATTCAATAGTACGATATGTGTTTAATTTAAGACGTTTCGACCATGTATCACACCTGACTAATAAAATATTTTACCTTAACTTGACCACTTGGATAGATTTTAGAACATTAGAATACTTTCATAAAATTGTGACGACCCAAGAACCGATTTACCTTTACTGCAAACTTAACCCTGCTACATCGCAACAAACTAACAACTATTTATGCGCTCGAACTCAAACGCTTTGCTCGAAGAGACAGTTCTTTGTCAATGGAATCCGCTTATGCAACAGTCTTCCTCATCACCTTAAATCTATTAGGCGCGCAACTCAATTTCAAAATAAAATCAAAGAATATTAAGGAAACCATTAAAAATAAGCAAAATAAATAAATTAATAATAAACATAAAAATAAATGTAGAAAATAAACAATTTAAAACAAAACAAAATGTTAAGGATTTAAGTACATAATTCTTGTCAAAATTGCAATGTATAAGTATTATATTTAAGTAGATAACATCAAAAATGAACTATATATACTAGTGACTAGCGCAATAAAAATAAGTTCATACATCTAGCGTTAGGATAAAGCATGAACTAAATAAAAAAATAATAAGGAATAATTTTAGTTTTATCGTTTCTTTAAAATTGTGGCTGCCACACGATTTTCGTCCTGGGGGTGTGGCGAAATTTTGAAATACAAGTGTAACACATAGGCCTGGAAACAAAATTTGGGTGCTCTAGCTCTTATAGTCTCTGAGAACTAGGCGCTCATCAAGACGAACAGACGGACGGACAGACAGACTCGGCTATTGATGCTCATCAAGAATATATATATACTATATGGGGTCGAAAACGTTTCCTTTTGTGCGTTACACACATCCACTTTTACCACAAATACAATATACCCCTTAACTCTTTTTGAGTACGTGTATAAAAACGTATTAAAGGCTAAAAATAAAATTTAAAATTAAACACCAAGATAAGCGAAAGCATTACATAAAGAAATATTAGTAGTTTCCGCCAAACCAAAGATTTTGCAATCTGATGTGTTTGCCATTGTAATATAGCAAGCGAGTATGCGGCGCTTGCTCAAATATTTGCCCAAAACATCTTACAAATACTCGTATGTACATTAGGCTGGGCCAAAATTTGACGAAAAAATTATTTTTTTCTTTTTTCAAGATAATTAAAACAGCTAGAAGTTAAGCTCAAATACTTTGTGATTTCAGCTTACCGTCTGGGAAATATAAAGCATTGAAATGCAAAAATGATGATTTTTGTGCGGTATTTTTTATGAAATTTTGACTTTAAAAACTCAGGAAAAGTCGAAAAAAAATTATACCTTTTTTTTTTATTTTTTTATTTTTTTTTTTAGTTACTTTTAAAAAATTAACGATTGCTGAAAATCAAGAAGTTCAGCTGGGGTTGATATATTTAGTTAAATAGTTCGCAAAAACTTGTGCAGGGTTTTTACTGCCAAATAAATTTCGCTAGCAACTTCTAAAAAATAAAAAAAAAATAAAAACATGTTAATTACACTGGTCAACACGATTTTTCCTCAAGGAACAAAACCAACTTTTTATTAAAGATTTGGGGCTTAGAAATGGTTTGATGATATTTTTTTTTTTCTATGGCAGAACTTTTTTTTAAAATTTTTGAAAACTGGTATTTTTTTTAAGCTTTTTTCAGAGGTAGCGATAGTTTTTTTCACATAACTTTAGTATCTTACGTCTGGTTGTAAAGAACTTTGCTATTATGAAAAGATAATTAAAACAGCTAGAAGTTAAGCCCAAATACTTTGTGATTTCAGCTTACCGTCTGGGAATTATAAAGCATTAAAATGCAAAAATGATGATTTTTGTGCGGTATTTTTTACGAAATTTTGACTTTAAAAACTCAGGAAAAGTCGAAAAAAAATGATATCCTCATTTTTGCATTTCAATGCTTCTTCTAGCTGTTTTAATTATCTTTTCAAAATAGCAAAGTTCTTTACAACCAGACGTAAGATACTAGAGTTATGTGAAAAAAACAAGCGCTACCTCTGAAAAAAGCTTTAAAAAAAATACCAGACTTCAAAAATTCTTCAAAAAAAAGTTTTTCGACTTTTCCTGAGTTTTTAAAGTCAAAATTTCGTAAAAAATACCGCACAAAAATCATCATTTTTGCATTTCAATGCTTTATATTTCCCAGACGGTAAGCTGAAATCACAAAGTATTTGGGCTTAACTTCTAGCTGTTTTAATTACCTTTTCAAAATAGCAAAGTTCTTAACAACCAAATGAAATATACTAGAGTTATGTGAAAAAAACAAGCGCTACCTCTGAAAAAAGCTTAAAAAAAAATACCAGACTTCAAAAATTCTTCAAAAAAAAGTTCTGCCATAGAAAAAAAACCATAATTCTTTAAAAAGTTTTAAAGCCCCATATCTATCAGAAAAAGTCGGTTTGGATCCTTGAGGAAAAAAAAAGTTCAGTTTTGTCGAGTAGTGTTACTATTAAATGCAAGGTAAATGTCCCGTTTGAATTTCGAAAAAAAAAATTTTTTGGTCCAGCCTAATGTACATATAACGTGCAAACCGAGCTTTTTCAGCTATTAATGAATCAAAGATAACGTTACACTAAAAGCTTTTTTAGGAAAATATTCTCTATCAAAGTTCTGCGAACCTCGTTTTCCTCATTTTTGCATTTCAATGCTTCTTCTAGCTGTTTTAATTATCTTTTCAAAATAGCAAAGTTCTTTACAACCAGACGTAAGATACTAGAGTTATGTGAAAAAAACAAGCGCTACCTCTGAAAAAAGCTTTAAAAAAAATACCAGACTTCAAAAATTCTTCAAAAAAAAGTTTTTCGACTTTTCCTGAGTTTTTAAAGTCAAAATTTCGTAAAAAATACCGCACAAAAATCATCATTTTTGCATTTCAATGCTTTATATTTCCCAGACGGTAAGCTGAAATCACAAAGTATTTGGGCTTAACTACTAGCTGTTTTAATTACCTTTTCAAAATAGCAAAGTTCTTAACAACCAGATGAAAGATACTAGAGTTATGTGAAAAAAACAAGCGCTACCTCTGAAAAAAGCTTTAAAAAAAATACCAGACTTCAAAAATTCTTCAAAAAAAAGTTTTTCGACTTTTCCTGAGTTTTTAAAGTCAAAATTTCGTAAAAAATACCGCACAAAAATCATCATTTTTGCATTTCAATGCTTTATATTTCCCAGACGGTAAGCTGAAATCACAAAGTATTTGGGCTTAACTTCTAGCTGTTTTAATTACCTTTTCAAAATAGCAAAGTTCTTAACAACCAGATGAAAGATACTAGAGTTATGTGAAAAAAACAAGCGCTACCTCTGAAAAAAGCTTAAAAAAAAATACCAGACTTCAAAAATTCTTCAAAAAAAGTTCTGCCATAGAAAAAAAACCATAATTCTTTAAAAAGTTTTAAAGCCCCATATCTATCAGAAAAAGTCGGTTTGGATCCTTGAGGAAAAAAAAAAGTTCAGTTTTGTCGAGTAGTGTTACTATTAAATGCAAGGTAAATGTCCCGTTTGAATTTCGAAAAAAAAAAATTTTTTGGTCCAGCCTAATGTACATATAACGTGCAAACCGAGCTTTTTCAGCTATTAATGAATCAAAGATAACGTTACACTAAAAGCTTTTTTAGGAAAATATTCTCTATCAAAGTTCTGCGAACCTCGTTTTCCTCGTCTGTTTAATTTGAAATAATCGGCTAATATAAACTTTGAAAACAATTTTCAAATTCTTCATTCCAATTATATGCAGTCTTCGGAATATAGCGCGGACAAAATCCAATGAAGTTTCTCTTTTTAAAAAGCCAAGCCAAAAAGGTGAAGGACTGAAAAGTATGCCCATGCTGTAAGGCACTGTAAGCTTCTGAAAAACTATAGGGCAGCAAACGGTTTACTGTTCCTATCTTCGGAGCTGTCATTATATGAATATCAATGGGGAATCGGAATATGAATATGCATTTCTTGCCGCCTAGAGATGCAGATGGATATGCAGACATATACAGACACAACTCATGGCGAAAGATTATCCAAGGAATCCATAAATCCCTTAGCCTCTTAACAATATGTTTATTTTTCTTTTTACCATTATTATTTCTTCTGTGTATTTGGCTGTGGTTTTATGATTATGATATATGATGGGCCAACAAGAGTATATAAACTTCGGGGTGCTGAAGTTTGCTTTCTAATGGCTTGAAATTGTCTTACAGTGTACATAAAAGTTTGATAAATTTCTTATCTTCTTTTAAGAATGATTTGTTCCATGCTCGCTCTTTCAAAACCATTTCAGTTAAGTTACTCACAATGAGTGCGCATAGACGCGTCTACTATGCGGTCTACTTGGTGTTGATCCTGCTGATCCTGGCCGTGCTTTCTTACAATTTCACTGGGAATCTCTGCGGTTCCAAAGAGAAATCCCCAAATAAAAGCATTTCTAAAGCTGAGGTAGATTCACTGTACGATGACATCAGAATACTCTGCATGATACCATACAACTACAACAATCCCAGCACTGCAAAATATGTAAAGCGAACGTGGGGAAAACACTGCAATGTCTTGCTCTTTGTCAGCGGAAACGTCGATGATGAACTTGAGCCGTATGTGCCAGGAATCAATACTACAGACAATTGGACTCTGGTGCATCGAGGCTTGATACATACCTTTGAGGTCTACAAAGACGAGGCCGAATGGTTTCTTAAAGTAGAAGACTCTAGGTAAGGAACCTTTTTTCTTTTTCTTGATCATAGAAAATTGGAATAAGTCCGAATGGCAGTAATTTAAGTGTACTCAAGTGTACTCCTTGTTTGTGTGTTTATTGCGCGCTAATTGTTGGCACTCAATACATTACATTTCTCCTTGTTCCTCTCTGTCATTATAGCTGCTCCGTATATGTATTTTCGTAGAGCTTTTATACTTTTACTTTTACGTTGATAAAGTTATCAGCCTTCAACAGCGCTTATTTCTCGTTCCCTTTCCAGTTCGTATTCTGTATTTTTTTATTCCCGTACTCGAAGAGTTTAGGGGTATATCAGATTTGTGGTAAAAGTGGATGTGTTCAACGCACAGAAGGAAACGTTTCCGACCCCATAAAGTATATATATTCTTGATCAACATCAATAACCGAGTCGAGATAGCCATGTCTGTCTGTCCGTCCATCCGTCTGTTCGTCTTGATGAGCGCCTAGTTCTCAGAGACTATAAGAGCTAGATCAACCAAATTTTGTTTCCAGACTCATTTGATATCACACTGATATAAGTGTGTTTCAAAATTTGGCCCCGCCCACTTCCGCCCCCACAAAAAAGGAAAATCTGTGGCAGCCACAATTTTAAAGATACGATAAAAACGAAGTATCATATAGAAAAACCATATCTACCAGATTGCCGAATCTGAATCAGATCGGATCATTTTTATAGTCAGAATAAGGAAATTAATTTTCAGTTGCTAACACCCTTCCTTACAGTGCTGCGCGCTCCTCGTTTTCTTAATGGCTCACAGGCTCTGATACGACCTCTGGCGAAGGAGATGTAGAATCTACATTAAAGATGTACAATAGACATTGTAGATGTAGAAATAAACTGATCAAATATTTTAAAGTTCCAAATAAATCAAAAGCTCACGTACATATATACCGTAGTTTTGTACGGGTACAAAAGTAGAGTCGCGGCCACAACAGCGACTCACAGCGTTCCCTCTCGTTTTTGGCATAGCTTCGATTAGATAATGCTGATTGTAGTAACTAATTATTACACAATTTAATCTAGTCTATACATTTTTATGTAAGTTTGGCATTAATATGCAAACGAATTCAATTCAAATGAATGGCAAAACAATTGTCAAATATTCCAATTACTATCTCAATCAAAAGTAATCTTAAATGTTTTAATTTAAGACCCATGCTCACAAGCCTTATCGACAGTGTTTTGGAGAGATGGGCAAGAATATGTGGCAGGTCAAATATGTGTGTTGAAGGGCTATCAATGAAATATAATTGAGGATTTATTAGCTGTGATGTCAACATCAGAAATAGAATATTAAAATGTTAATTAAATTCGAATTGAAAGACTTTTCTTTAATCGCTGATGTTTTCTTTTTTTTTTGTAATAGTCTTTGCGGATACACGGAATGGTCATTGACTTAAGTGTGTAGAAACCAGTCTTTAAAGTTAGATGAGTGACCTAAATTTGAGAAAGTAAATCAGCTTATTCTCTTATGACAGCTCATAGCTATACTTATTCTCTTTTCTAATTAAACTTTAAAATCAACCAAACGTTAACCGAACCAAACTACAAACATTCTAAGCTGAAATTTTATGCTCTCTCTACGTACTTATGAACCTATTGTAGAGTTGGTTTGAAGCGAGTTTGATTATGCTCTTCTATATTTTATAACTAGTATCTAGTTTTAACCCCGCCTTGCTTATGTCGCACGTTTGAGAGACACATCTGAGACCCAATCTCTATAAATGTGGACTTTTTTGCTGTTCGCCTCACGCTTATTAAAATCGTTTATGATGTTCAATTTTGCAAGGTGAATTGGCATTTTTGGTAAAGCAAAAATAAATTTTCGCATGACGAATAAAATATTTTCTACCTATAGCTTTGTAGTTCTGGAGAACCTCCGCTTTATAATACACAGTAAGAAATTTGTATCTACTGCGCCGATCTACTTCGGCCATGAACTGGAAAATATATACGCACATAAGGTGATTGAAAGCCTCTGAAATTTATAATGTACTATAGTTTTTTCTGCTTTAAAGCCATTTGTCTTCTCCAAAAGTGGCTATGTGATTAGCCATGAGGCACTAAAACGCTATGTGGACCTAGGCAGGAATCCAAACAACAACCACTGCCAACACTTGGAGGGCTTTACGGAGGAGCTGGAGTTGAGTCGGTGTCTAGGTCATGTGGGTGTCACCGCTGTAGACAGCCGTGATGAGGACGGAAATGAGACCTTCATGCCCGTTCATATGGATCACCATTTTTTGGAGGGCTATGATTACATAAACTGGCTAAAGAACATGGCATACCATAAGGTGGACAGAGTGAGTATATATTAATATTTAAAGGATCTGCGCGATTAATATTTATCCTCTTTTCAGGCAGCAGTCCCTTTGTCTAAACGCGCCATAACTTTTCGTGTTGAATATCCACCTGAAATATACGTTTATTATTATTTTGTTTACCGAGTGCAATTGTTCGGCCTTCCTATGCAAAGCTTTCCTAAATCTTCTAATTAATAAAAGAGTGTCTTTATTAGCTGGGCTTCTAGGTTAAATGACACAACCACAGAAAGTATGTTTTACTTTCTAGAAGATCATGTAAGTTGCAATATTTTTAATATTATTCCTTCTAAAAACCAGATGCAAACCCACACGCATTGAAGGACAGAGACATACGTGTTTATCAATGAATCTATCGTTTGGGCCTGGAGTTTAAACTCTCAAATTGCCATTTTGCCTGCCGGTGGCCTGTTTTGCTCAAAAAAAGGACTTCCGTTTTCTCGGCTTAACTGCTGTGTGCTTAACTGCTAAGTGTTATTGTTGCATCACGTTTGATATAATAGAGTATCCAAAGAAAAGGAAAAATGTATACAATACAAAAAACGAAATTTGGCACTGTTTCCTGTTGCACTAGGCCCCCGTCAACCTTATTTATGTGTTGGCATCTTTTGCTGCTTCACGTTTACCTGTGAGACGAGACAACTCCATAATCTGGTAATTTGAGCACGTAAAGTGAGACACTAATATCCAAAATAATACCCATACATGGTTTTCCATATGATTTTATAAAGTTCTTATAATATGAGTATATTTTCGAGTCTTTAGTTTTGACAATAATCGATGGAAATATGAATTCTTTCCTTGCCGGTATATGGCAGTTATTTGTGATAATTTTGGTTAGGCAAGACAAAAATAGATACGATATGTATTTTATGCAAATCTGGGAACGTGTTTTAATGGGATTCAAAGCTTTTTCATACATATGTTTATATTCGAATTGTGATATGTGTCACACTGTATTATATACATATATACATATGTATACATACATATATATTTAATTCCACTACATCAGTATCTCACTCTCTTCTCACACCAACATGCCTTTATAGCTCGTTCTCCTCCGCCAGAGGACGCGCACTGCACAAGGCAGAGTGTGTGAGCCAGAGATAGAATGAGTAACTTAGCCACTGCAAATTGAATTCATCATTCTGGCCATAATAATGATCCGACCTAACCCATCTGATAAGATTCGGCAATCTGGTAGATATGGTCATTCTTTAAACTACTCGGTTTTCTCGTATTTTCAAATTGTGGATGCCACAGTCTTTCGTGCTTTGTGAAGTCGGCAGAGGACGGAGAAAAATTTAGAAATACACTTGTAACAGTGTGATATCACAGAAGTCTGGCTACAAAATTGAGTTGCTCTGGCTCTTATAGTCTCTGAGAACTAGGCGACAAACAAGACGGACAGATGGACAGACAGACAGATGGACGGACGCACAGACATGTCTTCGACTCTGCTATTGATGCTCACCAAAAATATATATACTTTATGGCGTCGGAAACGTTTTCTTTTGTGCGTTACATAAATGAATTAACATTTATCAATGAACCGAAACTTGGAATTGTTTAATAACATTTTTATACCCGTACTCGAAGAGTTAAGGGGTATATTAGATTTTTAGTAAAATTTGATATGCGTAACGCAGAGAAGGAAACTTTTCCGACCCCATAAAGTATATATAGTATATTCTTGATCAGCATCAATATCCGTGTCGATATAGCCATATCTGTCTGTCTGTCTATAGTGACTGAGTACGGGTATAAAAGTAGAGTCGCATTAATAGAAGCGACTCACGCGTTCCTTCTTGTTTTTCAATGTATTTCCTCCAATTCCTTACAATTCTATTGGGCTGCACTTATCAATCCTCAATTTAAACTAAAAAAGAATTCTTAAAAAACAAAAAAACGATCTCCAGTTAAGTTCATTGTGAGTTAATAATTCTAATTGAAAATTGCAATTTCTATGAAGCGGCTCTAATCAAACGACAGCAAAGACAGCATAACCTATCTCATACAGAAAACGTCACTTAATATAATTAAACTCTAAATGGAACACCCGAACCACAACAGAACCACCCTGACTACCATTCAATTGAAAATGGTGCGACATTTCAGTACACGGCGGCTTTTCCTTGGTGGCAAGAACAAGTGTGGCGTTTTTAATAGCTGGCTACTGCTTGGAGTCATAATTTTTCTACTTATTCTGTTGTATCAAAGGGATGAAACCAGTTCAGACAATTTGGTGACATTGCCAACTCGTCCGCGCATCTTCTGTGTAATTGTCACCTATGCATTCCGTCACGAGCATGCTGCTATCCATATTCAAAAGACCTGGGCTAGGCACTGCGATCGGTATTTGTTCGTCAGCGACGATGTGCATATGGTTTTGGAACCCGCAGTGTTTAAGAATATTGGGGATAAATGGCAGCGGATACGGGCACATCTGGAGTACATCTACAAATATCATTTCCATCAAGGAGACTGGTTCCTCTATGCCAACGATGATAAGTAGGAATTTATGAAAACAGCTTCGAAAATAAAAAAGGCATTTAAGTTTACTTTTTAAGTTTTGTGGTCGTGGAGAACCTTCGTCATATGCTGCAGTCCTATAGCCCCGAAGAGCTCATCTACTTTGGCTGCAAGATGAGAAGCAATCAAGAGGGTCTGGTGAGTAAGTATTAAGCATTGATCATCCACACTCAGCCTCTATCTATTTAGATTTATATGTTTGATGGATCTGGAATTGTGTTAAGTGCTGCCAGTCTTAAGCGATTCGTGCTCGAGGCATTAATCAATGAAAACCTGTGCAGCTCTCAGAATAGAGGAAGAGAGGCTGCGGAGGAACTGGGTCGATGCCTAAGCAATGTTAATGTAATAGCCGGCGACAGCCGAGACGAATGGAGAAAACATCGATTCCTGCCCTTCGAAGTGGACATACACTTGGGTGGTCACATGAATGACTCCATTGAGCTGCACAAATACTTTCTGGAGCGTTCCTACTATCCGGTTATTGATGCAAGTCGAACATTTTTATTTTTTATTTAGTGAAAAACATTTTTAACTTAACAGATGAACCTGCCTGTCTCATTGAGATCGATATGCTTTCATTTAATGCTGATTCCTATAGCATATGATTTATATTATTTCACTCAAAATGTTCACATCTTTGGAGCACCACAGAAATGGGACTCAGAAAATTGGGAGCTCGAGAATAAGAATTCGTAAGAATGACACATGTAAAATAAAAAAAGAGTAATTTTTCATAAAATAAAAGAGCTAACATACACGAAAAATAAAAGATATTTAATCCAAATATAATCCAATCCAATCATCTATTGAAACCATATTTTCCAGAAGTTGTAAAGCCTTTGGAAATTCTGATATTCAAAATGTTATATTTACCTTCTTCGTCTATGATACGACGAAAAAAATGATGATTTTTGTGCGGTATTTTTTACGAAATTTTGACTTTAAAAACTCAGGAAAAGTCGAAAAAAAATTATATCCTCATTTTTGCATTTCAATGCTTCTTCTAGCTGTTTTAATTATCTTTTCAAAATAGCAAAGTTCTTTACAACCAGACGTAAGATACTAGAGTTATGTGAAAAAACAAGCGCTACCTCTGAAAAAAGCTTTAAAAAAAAATACCAGACTTCAAAAATTCTTCAAAAAAAAGTTCTGCAATAGAAAAAAAAACCATAATTCTTTAAAAAATTTTAAAGCCTCATATCTATCAGAAAAAGTCGGTTTGGATCCTTGAGGAAAAAAAAAGTTCGATTTTGTCGAGTAGTGTTATCAGTCGAGTCTTTGATTCGTTGAATCAGAATTGATGCCCACCTGAAGATGACATTGATAACGAACATTTTATTGCACACATGTAGGCAATAAAAATTGTTTCGCAGTCACTACAGTCCAAAAATGCTCTTCGTTTGGATATCCGAGATACTTCTCAGTATTTTCGATTCGATCCCGGCAGATTTTTGAATTTTTCTGCGGATACAAAATAAACAGAGCACCTTTAAAAGAATCACATTTTACAAATACCGTTTTATCGTTTTACCCAGATTTAAGATACGTAAGTTATGTACAAACAGCACCATCTAACAAAAACATAAAAAGATATTAAAATTCTAAAAAAATTAAGAAACAAAAGTTATATTTATTATTAAATTTAAAAAATGTAATTCCCCAAATCCATCATAAAAATTCGATTTGGTTCGTTGAGTAAAAATGCTGTTGCATAGTATTATCTGATAAATTCTCGGGAAGTAAAATTAGTAATTTCACAATTATTTTTTTGTTTATTCTATATTAATTTCTGGTCAAGATACTCGTACATTTAAGTCGAAATGTTCGGTGTCGTTCTCCCTGTACTTTCTTTCAACTACAACACATTCCTCTGATCTCATTCCACACCTGTCACATACGTGCGCATTATGCATCCATCATTACTCATGCTATAAACAGAATCCACTTAATCTCCCAACGAAACATCCAAACATTTATTAAAGACATCTCAAAGCGAGGGTTGTCGGACCCCTGCAACAAAAGGTTCAATTTATAGTTCAGCACCCTTGGAGGATAATGCCAACCCCCAATTCGTTGGGGGACGCATGGCAAGGACACTGGGCGGGTGGCGAAAAAGTAATTCCTGCCGCCCCAAAATTTGGCAAAGACCTTGAAAAAAGCGTAGCATACGGTAGGGGAGCTGGAATGAAAGTCGAGGTGAGTGATAGAACTTTAAGCTCAAACACCCGGCCGTATGCAATGAATATTTACGAGTGGGTCCTTTGAGGATTACAATGCTCCGGAAGGGAATGGAGCTGGGGGTTTCCGTTTGTCGGGCTTTATGCAATTGCGCAAGAAAAAAATCTAATTCATCCGCCTGCCACCCCTAGTATTGTTTGACAATTGCCTGAAATTATGCCAATGCATTGGAATGAGAGGGATCTGACGGCACGTACTCGCCAGTACCGGGTTTTAAGGGAATTCCCCCACAAAATCAGGCTGAAGAAATCGCTTTGCTTACACCGTACGGGGCATATCAATGCACTGTTAAAGCCCACCCTTTGGTCTGTCGAAGTCTAAGGACTTGGGGTGGCTTCATCTTTATCCCAGTGGGTGGCGGTGGTGGGTGGCTGCTGGGTGGTGGTTGGCTTGGTTTGCCTTTGGTGGTCTCCAACCTCATCATAACACCACATGTTCTGAAATTCAATGTCGATTCGTCATCTACTTCATGTAGATTTCTATCTATTCTATTGTCTGACTTTGCCGCTTGATGCGGCGCAAAGTAGTGGAATTTATTGCGTACGGCATACAATTTAAGTGGATTCTACGTAAATTAATAAGTTTGAGTTTGGTCCTCCCGGTGACTTGACTGCAACCTAAGCGAATAAAAAACGAGAAGGAACGTGTGAGTCGCTTCTGTGGACGCGACTCTACTCTTATCCCCGTACTCAGTCAGTATATAAATTTGTAAGCTTATGATTTATGTAGAATTTGAAAACATTTTACATTTTGTTGTTACATCTTTAATCTACATCTACACTTACCATGTCAATTCCACATCTCAAATATATATTATACATACACAAATTTATAAATACACTTGTACAAGTGTGATATCACGAGTCTGCTTGCTCTAGCTCTTATAGTCTCTGAGATCTAGGCGCTCATCAAGACAGACGGACGGACGGACAGAAATGGCCATATCGACTCGGCTGTTGATGCTGATCCAGAATATATATACTTTATGGTGTCGGAAACGTTTCCTTCTCTGCGTTGCACACATCCACTTTTACCACAAGTACAATATACCACTTAACTCTTTTTGAGTACGGGTATAAAAATAGCAGTTTCTTGTCGCTATGCGAGTTCCGTACAAAATTTAGAGCAGAGCAGCCATCAGTTGGACATTCTTCTGTCTGCGACACACCGAGCAGTCACAATAAATTTCACTTATCAAAGTTTTCGGTCGACGTTGGCGAAAAAAATCAAACATAGAAGCATCGCTCAGAATAGAATCTACGACTAACTTTATTGCGCAGATAGTTGTACTTCAAGCAGAGACGTGCCAGGCAGAAACACACTAAGGGCAAATTAAATGTCTTTTGTCAACAGACGTTGCGGAAAGAACAGAGAAGAATTGGTAGTAGGGAGTAGGGATTTGTAGACAACGGACAATGACGCACTTTTCGGTCAGAAGTTTGCCTCTCCGATATGCATTAAAAGCGAATCGAAAGGCGATGCCAATGGCGGAGTCCGGGCAAACTCCAATGGAGCACAGAGCAATCTCACTGTGCAAACTGGCATTATAATGGGCCACTTATCATGGCAATCACTCAGCAGTCAGCAGTGGGCCCAGGGCGGACTCGTAGTCTGCCACTGGCGTACGGCATAGTCATACATTGCATCTGCATCCTTATGGGTCTCCCACTGGGAATGGCCACCCCATCTCGTGGCCCATTCCTGGTCCCTCGTTCCTCGCTTTGCTTTACTACTCTTCGATACTCAGTCGTCGTTTGCCTTTTAATACTTTGCGCAAACATATTAAATGGAAATTTCGTAAAAGACGGCAGTGGTGAAGACACCGACCACTATCCATGCTATCGCTGAAGAAATGGATGCTACCCCACTATCTACCCACCCCGCATGGCTTTAAAGGAGTGCCATAATTTTTGCCAAAGACGCAAACGCACTTTTATATGACACTTGCAAATAATTAAAACAGACGTTCACTCGACTGTACCATATATTTTTTCCCCATCTATTCTACCCATTTTCTGTAATGCAAAAACCTTGCATAAACATGCCCAAATAATACTGTTTTTTGACATTTTGCTCGTTTACAGTGTTTTATAAACCAAACTTCTACATCTCTCACCCACTTTTTTGCAGTTCAAACAAAAAATGTCTGTATTTACTTCGAAAATTGCTCGGATTTTTGAGTGTCAACCCCTAAGAACGTATAAAGTTAAATGATTGGAGAATTAATTTTATATTCATAGCTTAAATGATTAAAATATTGACGATAAGTTCTCAGTAATCGAGAAACATCATCAAAATCATCAGCGGACGGCTATCTTTGTAACGGAAGTCCTATGTTTTCACAAAGTCATTTGTTTTTATACCATATTTGGCTTTACTATTCAGCAATATGTGCATGAAAATGCTTTTTATGCTGTGGTCGGATTATACGATTATACTATAAGAATCTTAGCAAAGAAAGGCAAGGATTTTTTGCCAATTATTCCAATTGCAGTTCTATAAGAAAGCTAATCTAATTTGCGGTGCGGACTTACCGATAACAACCATAAGGGGCTTGAGCAAAGTTAAACTCACCAATATTAAAAACAAGGGTTTGTTTGAATAATAGCAGGTAGACGCACAAAGAGACGAACGTGGCTACATCGATGCTGTTGATGCTACTCAACAATATATGTATATACGCTTTCTTTGTGGGGTCGTATGTGCTGATTATAATCATAATATATGTACGTACATATAGGAAAGACAAAGAAGAAAAGAAATACTTTCGTATGTTTATCTGTCAGCATGAATCTAATTAACTCCAAACATTGCTCGATAGATGACCTTAATAAATGTCAACTAAATGAGCTGCATGTACGAGCATGTAATACAGCCATGCGAGACGGATATCTCCCTAAATAGATGCTGACGATGCAGACTCCACTCTGCTTAGTGACGGAGCCAATGCCTCATGTTCCAATCGTCGCTGAAAACAAATTAAAACTATTTTAAGCCAATTGTCTGCCGAGGACCAAGCAGGTGTGACTGGGACGCCGCGCCGTTCCATCTCCTTTGCCTCCTTCGTTATGTGTATGCATCTCTTCCTTGCTCCGTTTTAAATTAGATCCATTTATATTGATGTGCGTGCATAAATTACATCTCAAACCCGTACTCCACCCGTCTCTGGTTTGCTTGGCTTTTTGGGTTGGCTTTAGCATGGTCTGGGGAACAGGAACTGCCTGTGAGCAAGTTTAAATTAAATGTTTCACATTCAATCAGGGACGGTGGCATCTACTGCGCGTGTCTGTGGCTGCAGCTGAAATGCAATGGTACACTTCTTATTTATTAGATTTGAGATACGAGCTATACTCATTGGACTTTGTAGGTCGCTCATCCCATCTCTTATCTCTTTCACACTTTGACTTGTGATATTCTTAAAATGCATTTTTATCCAACTAATTTTATGCACCACTAAGGGCTACACAGATGATTTGATTGGCCGAGGGCTGGCAAACCCCAGCAGACATACAAATTTTACTTTCAATAAAAG